GCTTCATTTTTTCTTTCAAGATGGCACCCACTCTTAAGGTCTTATGTACCTGCCTGAAGATCTCTGCAAGGATGCTCACCTACAGTTAGCCTGGGATGGCCTTAGAGTGTAACCATACCCTGAGATGGAAGCATTAAAGTTTCTATATTCTATTTAAGCAGCAATTGATACTTCAGCACATTAAGTCAAGGAGGAGAGGCATCATCTGATGAGCTCTGGGTCCAATGTATGTTTTGTGAAAATGGCAGGATTGTGGTAGAAGGCACATAAAAACCTTTACAATTGATTAAACATTTCCCTGCAGTGCTCAAAACCCAAACAGTAGAGCAGTGTATCAGTGTATTAAAAAAACAAGCAAACAAAGCCAAAACAAACAAACAAACACAAACAAAAAAAAACAAAACAAACCCTACCTAAAAAGCACAATGAAAGACACTAAAACCAAGAGTGACACTACCCAGGCTGTCCTCAGTAACCAACTTCAATCAAATAGTCAATCAAATAGAATAAATTAATGCAGAGCCTAAAATTATGAAGAATCAGTTCACAGCTGTCTCTTTACCTCAATACTGACACTTCAGGAAAGAAAAGCCTATAGGGAGCTCTACTGCAGAGATCCAGGGGCCTCTGAAGAGCAAAGTAACACAGGAGATCCCCACACGTTTAAGCAGTTGTATCACTAACTGCAAGCACGTAGGAAAATCAGGAATGAAAAATTGAAGCAATGAAGATAGAGTAGGCAGCCACTGGAAAAGATGCTTTTAGAAAGATTGGCTGCTGGTAACACATTGATGCTTTCAGAAAAAAAGCCTGGAATGTGTGGAATTCTCTGAGATGCCAGGGTGTAAAGAGGATCTCATTAACTAGGGCTTTCAATATCTGCTGCCCAGTCATTACCAGTTATTCAGAAAGCAAGATGTCTTACATCATCAGTTTCTGAAAAATACAATATTCCACTTAGACTGCCAGATCTGTAGTACTCTAGACCGAGACATCATCTTTCCAAACAGTTACAGAGGCACCGAGTCCCAAGTCTGCACACAAATCCAGCATTTCTTCTACATTCCTGTATTATCCAGATAACCAAGCATCTAATAATAAAACTGGGCAGTACTGAACTACTCAGTTCTCTTGCTGGTAATAAGGAAACTAAGCAACAGCCAGACTGACAACAATCATATTATTCCCACATGGTTCTGCTTTAGAAGCAGACCCTAGAGCTGCTCATGATGAAAAGCAGCGAAGTACTTGAAGTAGCAGAAGGGCAAAGCAGTTAGTTCAGGAGATGAGCAGGAAAACATTTCTCACTCTTGTTTCTCTTCCAGTCAGAGGGTGGGAAAGGATTCATATTTGCATGATGCTAGCTGGCCAGAGGCTTATAAGAAAGATAAAAACACAAGCAGCATCTGGGAAGGCAGGGGCAAGGGACCCTGAGTTTTTGAAGATGACCTGTTTGCAACTGCCCAGAATCAGTCCTTTATTGTGCCTAACAAGACTTTCTGATCACACTTTCTGAACTGTGGGAAAACAAAAGAGCAGCACACAGGTAAGCACCTTTACCAGTAGATCAGCAGAGGAGTTCAAGTACTTTTCTTAAAGCAAAGCATACACAGTCTTTCAAATATTTACCACTTCAATAGAAGCAGAGCTGAGACTGTTAAGGCCTCATGGAAATGACAGCAGTAATGATAAGCATTACTGGAAAAATGGTGGGCTTAATTAATTTCCATTTTTTGTTAATAATCGTTGAACCCAACATGGCTGTTTTATTTGAATACAGCATTACATTATTTTCAGTATAAGATAAAACATTATTATGCAAAATTGTACGATATGCTGTTTTCAAGAGAGCTCCTTTCCTATTCCCCTTCCCCTTGGTACCATCTCTGCGATTGCCAAGGAATGGCATCCTGGGCAAGGGACGGGGGTAGAGAAGCCCCTCCAACCACTGGCTCCAGTAGCTCCTGAGATGGCATTAGCCCATTATTTCCTTTTTCTCACCCACCCTGTGCCTCCACAACAGAATCTTGGAATCCAGCTGGCTCACGAGGCACAGAGAAAAAGGCCTTCCAATGTCACAACTCAGTATCTAGGACATGTCTGGTAGCATTATCCTCAAATCACTGTGCTGCACTTGGTGTTAGAACATCACGAATGTCAAGATAGCTTAGCAGTTTTAAACTGAGTACTCAAAAATGCGTGGTTGGGCTGCGCTGTCGTGGTGCAAACATACCAGTACATGTGTCTTGGTCAGTGTGCCAAGCAGCCCAGCAGCTCAGAATCCTGGTATGCAACAAGTTCAATGTGACCATTACAATCATGCCATGGGTGCAGTGGCTGCATGCCTGTCACCAACTTGTTCCTTGTGGTAAGAGTCCAAACCTCCAGCCAGTTCTGAGTTATTCTTAGATGTGTCATTTGGGCTGGACAGCCAGAATACCAGAGGCTACCTCATCATTCTGATGTTTACCACAGGAGGTAGAAGGCAGGATGCCTTAATGTGATCCTGGTAAAGTCGTGGCCAAACCTGAGACAACCTGCAATTGTTCTCTTGGTTTCGGAAAAACAATTGGGTGCAATGACTTAAGTGTAATGCAGTCAGGAGTGAACAGTGTAGGTGCCTCATGCTTAAAACAAACATTAGGATAGTCTTGTTGAAAGTAATAGCAACCTGGTGTAGTGGAAGGTGTCACTGCCTATGGCAGGGGGGCTGGAACTAGATACCTTAAGGTCCTTTCCAACCCTAACCGTTCTATGAGTCTATAATTCTACAAAAGAGAAAGCACACTATCATTATACACTACAGCACGGATGGCCAGTTTCCTGCCAGGCAGTTTTATCTGGCCCTTGGGAACACTGGACAGTCTGGAGGCCAAAGGGAGGTGTTGCTGTGGATGTGTATGGCTCTGGGAGACGTGAAGAGATGCACAGAATGGTGCTGTTCAGCTCAGGTCCCATTTGAGATGTTCAGGTGTACCACTATGCAAATGCAGCTGTGCTAGTCCAGCATTGAATGGGGAATAAAAGCAGCCACAGCATGAAAAGAAGTTGCCCGCGTGTCCACACTGCGTCTGTATAGAGCCTTTCACCTTTAAAGCACATGTAGCACAGCACTACATGAAGGGAAGCAACGAGGGCTGAGTGATGTGCCTGCCTGCAGCTGTACAGCTGGAGGCAAGGCGCACATCTCCTGGAGGATGAGTAGTGGCAAAGCCCGGCACTGTAAACGAACCTTCGGCTGGCCAGGCAGAGGGACATCTGCAGATCTACCAGCGGCATTGCACTGTACATTGTACCATATACAAGGGGAAAGAGGAACAGCAGGAGTGCATGGGGAAGATTATGACCAAAAGTCTCTCTCCTCCTGAAAAGGATGTAAAAGAAAACAGAAAAACACCGAAGAAGCAGATTCTGCGTTTATCATCGCAGAGGTGAAGCCAGACTCTCTAATTAAGCACAAAACTGTGCTGCAATATTAAGGTTTTGAACTGTCATTTGAAAACAAGCTGCATTGGCACAGGCAAGAAAGAAAAAAGCATACGAATTAGAAAGCCTAAGCTCTGCTCTCGCTTACATTAGTCTAAACCCGCAGTTAACTCAGCTCAAAAGACTTATAGATGAGAATGTGATACAAGGAGTTTCATTTCCTCAGACAGTTCCCTCATTACATCGGCCAAGTCTCAGTCTCCAATCACAGCCCAGCACTCCACTCTGATTACACACACGTCCTGAAACCACAGAGAGTCTCCCTCAGACTGATCTACAGCTGATGTATATTAATTTATCACCAGCAAAGTCATTCTACAGCTGCCGAGGATGTAGTTTAAATACCACTGAATACTTAAGGCTTGATTCTGTTAATCAGTACAGCTTCACTGGTACTAGAAGAGTTACTTGCATTCTGCACCACTTCAAACGGGAGGAAATCCAGAGCACCATTTTCTAAATGGCACGTTCATTAAAAACCACCTAGAAGAGGGCACGTTCTCATTTACTCCAGTGTAAATTCACTTCACTGTATTTATCATAAATACTCAAGATTTAAACGGGAACAGCAGAACGCAAAAGCTAAGCCAAATTCCCCTTTGAAGCCACTGCTTTTCCTAAACCAGATATTAAGAGGACAGGATTGACACCAGTCTCTGCTATTCCAGACTTCCAATCCACAGCCCTATCTATCAAAAAAAAAAAAAAAAAACCAACCAAAAAACACCAAAACCCACATATATCCACAAGCGCTTGGGAAGCATATGCATCAGTGAGACTACAAAATCATTATACTGCTGCCAACACGAACCATATTCAGCAGAAATCAGCAGCTGTTAGGACTACAGAGCCTGCCACCGCTTTTATAGTTTGGGTGGAGAAGCAGCAGCATTCAAGCACTTACTGCTCGTAACAGAAGTCGCATATTGCCTTGATCTTTTCCTCCTCCCCCCACCCCACCCCGGCTCTTCAGGGCCACTCTTTAAGCAGAAATAAGTCATTAACCAAACTTCCTTACTTTAAGGTCCCCGAAACTTGGCTAACTACGAACCGGGTTCATTATTTCTATTTAAAAATTCGATCGGGAAGTCAGAGACACTTCTAAGGGGAAGACACGACACAGCAAAGGCGAGAAAATCCAGAGATGCCCGGGGAGGGGGATTCATCCCCATCCCCTCCAAGCCGCGGGGACCCGCGGACAGACGTCGGCCCCCGCCCCGGCCAAACCCTCAGCCGCAGAAGATGCGCCCCGAGAGCCCCGCCAGCCAGCTCCTTATGTAAGACAGAAACCACTGACATCATCTCTCCCGCCGGCATCGCCGCGGCGCCCAGTAGCGCCCACCGACCCGGCCCGACCCGTCACAGCACAGCTCCTTCTCACGCTGCCGCCCGGGTTCCCTCCGCACCGGCTGAGACCCCAAACTTTGCATGGCAGGTTACCGGGAAGAGGCTTACCCAGGCGGCCGGGCTGCGAGCGCGCCATCCCGCAGAACGCCCCATCCCGCGGTACTTACGCACTGCCTCCTGCTTGGGGTCGAGTCCGCGCACAGCTCCCTGGAGCCCAGCGATGCGACCGTGCAGCGCTCGGACGCGACGGTGGGTGCTCTGGATGTCAGCCTCGACCTCCTGGAAGAGGGTGCAGGCGTGCCGGGCTACGTCGGAGAGTTGCCTGAGTATCCGTGACAGGGCCACGTTACTGACCGAGCAGAGGTCCAGCACCATCAGCACCGCCGCCGCCTCCCTCTCCCCGCCGCCGGCCGCCTCCGCGCTCTCGCCCGCCGTCCCCGGCTCCTCCGGCAGCGGGTCCCGCGGCGACGGCTCCGCACCCCAGCTCTCCTCCAGCACGGAGGCAGCGGGCTGCCGCCGGCACAGCCGCTGCGGCTCAACAGTCCGCTTGGCGAAGGGCATCGCGGAGCCCTCGGCCGGGACTCTCCCGTACTCCCACAGGTACTAGTAAGGATCGCTGCCCTCCTCCTCCTCCTCTTCTTAATCTTCGCCGCCGCTTCTTGCCCCGCCGCCGTCACTCACAGGCGGCCGCCGGCGGGCAGCTCATTGCCTCGCTCCCTCCCTGCACGGGGCTGCGGAGCCGCCGCCGTGCCGCTGAGCATCCGCTGCTGCTGCTGCTGTTGCCGCTGCTGCTGTTGCTGTTACCGCTGCTGCCGCCGGGAGCCGGGGCGCATCCGCGCCACCTCGCTCGGTCTCTCTCACGCCGTCCTGCTCCGCCGGCGGGTGTGAAGGGGCGGCCCGAAAACCCGGAGAGAGGAATCCCGCAGCCGCGAGGAGGAGCGAACCGCCGAGCCTCTGCCCGGGGAGAGCGGCGGGGCGGGGGCGGGGGCCGGGACCGGGGCCAGGGCGGTGCCGAGCCACAGCCGCCGCGAGGAGGCGCTGCAGGGCCCCACCGCACCGGGGAGAGGATAGGATGGCGGAGGAGAGTCTGCAGGTGGAGGAGCTGCCGCTTAGGACAGAGCACAGCTCGGCCCAGCCTGTTGTCGCCTCCGGCGGGAGCACCCCTCAGGTGTGAAGAAGATGCTGAGAGAGGCAAAAAGGAATCAAGATTCGACCACTGCGGGAGATGGGTGCCTGTCCGCTAGTGTCACCTCTCTGGGCACGGCGGAGGATACGGCACCCTCCAAAGTTAGGTGGATGCACTTGGGCACCTGGATTCTTGTGCGGTGCCAGGCAAGAATGGGTTCCAGTCAGCCACAGAGGGCTGCTTCTGACAAAAGGCAGCTGAGCTTGATACATACACTCCTGAAAGGTGAACATGCCTCGTGAGCAGGCATAAAATCTGAACGTCAGCTGTAAATTGCTGGTGGTAAATGTACAGAGTGAATAGGAGAGACCAAGCTACTGTAAAAGGAGAGCCAGGTGGCTGCAAATGCAGGCATTCCACAGGTTGGAAACGTTAGCTGAAGTTTGCCCACTTGACCTTAACTTGTCTTTTTTGCACATGTGTGTCATGATGCAGTCTGTCATTGCATGACTACATACAGGCATGACTACATACATATTACCTCTGGTCAAACAGTTTGAGTTGCAAATACCTGCACTGGAGAAAGCATTGCTGTTGTATGCACTTTCCAGGCTCTACGGCCACGGTGACCTGCTCCTGGGACAAGCTTAGGTCCAAACAGCAGATATGGTTGCATTCACATTGCTCAGAGCCTGAGCTGATGAACCTTTTTGGCCCCTCTGCTGTCTTTTGGCATGGACAGTTGATGTGCCTTCACACTGTGGCCCTGGGAAGGGGAGCACACCATGGTGCAGAGTTAGCACAGCTGTTTAGCTCGGTTTCTAACTGAGGTTGAATTGGCAGCCCAGGCCATGTGCCTGGAGCTGGAGGAGGGCAGACAGCCTGCCCCGCCTATTCCAGTCTCAGCACCACCACCCCATGCCTACTCGGGGGGGGGGGCGGCTGAAGCCTGGGTGCAACCCAGTGGGAGTGGGCAGGGACATGAGAACTGTCACAGATCTGAAGAGTGCTCAGCAGTACTAAAATTATTGTACCCCATCTTCCCAAGTTTCTTATGCAGCAGGGTGGCTTTTAACCCTGGTAATAGAGCATGGGCTGTACTGCTCTTCCTGACATGGGAGTCATGTCACGATATTTATAAGACACTGAAAGGTATTTTAATATTTCACTTACAGGTTCATAGAGGGGGAGGGAGTGGTTAAGTTTTAATCCTCCCAGCATTCAGACTGGTGTGGGTTTACAAGAAAATGACCACCGGAGTCAAAACTGTTGGAAACAGCATTATAGGACTTGCCAGGCAGGCACAGGACCTCCCTCTGAGGAAAGCAGCTCAGGCACTCCTCCTGCCTCTCTCTTGAGCACCTGATGAGCCCCTGGACTGCACCAATCATAACAGGTTAAAGCTGCAAGAGGCAGGATTTTAGACTGTGCCTTATTGCAGCTTCCCAGTTGCATGCAAGGTCTGACCAGGTTGGGCGGGATAGGAGGTATACAGTTCTCTTCCTTCCCTTGCAAACGACACCTCAGTTCCTGCAATGTACCCTTACTCATCGTCATCAAAGCTACCAAAAGCCACTGCTTGTTCTTCCTTTACTTTTCCCAGTCTGTTGTAACTACTCCACATTACTGTAAACTCCATGGTCTCTCTCTTTGTCCCAGGTTTGGAAAGGTATAGCTCACCTTAGGGTGACTGTACTAGTCCCATGAGAATTGTGTGACTTCGGTATGCAGCAGCATGAGACGAACACAGTCCCAAAGCCACATGAGTCAACTTGTTTAAAGGAGATGGGTCCTGCCAAGTCTATTCACCTCCACCATAGGGAGCATATTTTCATTTTGGAGGTCTCGTTGCATTTCTGTCCTTCCCTCCATGACTGTAGGTGTTGCTATTTTATTTTGGTTTTCCTTGTAAGCAGAACAGACTCTATACATAGCTTGAGTGTGGAACACTGGCACTTCCCACCAGGCAAGTGGAGACCATACTTCAGTTTCCTTTGGTCAGCATATAGCTTTTACTATTGCAGGTGCTAGGCAGTCAGGTAATATCTCACCCCAATCACATACCTACTGTATGTTTTCTATCAGTAGTACTTGGTGGTGCGAATCCAAATTCAGCAACTTCTGATAGCCCCAAGACTGCTCTTGGTGTATCTGTTCAATGGCAGATGTAGTAAGTAGGTAGCATTCCTAAAGGTTAACTTCAGCCTCATGGGACAGGTCCCTGGAGGCTCTCCCCGTAACCAAAGCAGAGAAAAAAAAATCTTTCATGTGGGATTTCAAATGCTTAACCTTGGGCCTCAGTTTTGAAGTGCCCTTCAGAGGGTCCTGTGCTTCTGCACTGACTGCAGGGAAGCCCAGGGAGGTTAGATTCCTTGGGATGAAGTTAAACCTCAGGAGTATTCACTGGGGTATCAATCTGTGAACATACCAGTCTGGACCAAACTTCCATATCATTAGATTTTAAGAAGCACTTACAGACCTTGGAGATTGAGCCATGTCAGAAAGAATACTAGTTGTGAACAGAGGTAAGTATGTAAAATGGTCCCTTATGTATCTATTTATGGTGGGAAAAGCCTCCTGTTGGCCTGTACTGCCTTCTTGCACATGTATTGCCTGTGTTGGTTGCCATAAATATAGGTGGGGATGTTTCTGTGGATGACATTGGCTTTCACCTGTGGCAGTGAAAGGCTGCACAATGGTTTGCTTTAGACACATATAGTATGGGACTGTAAGAGTGAGCAAAAAGGGTAAAAGAAAGGTTCTGTTTCATTTCTCACTGGTGGTGCTGGTGGTAGGCAGGCACCTGGATATAACCCTCAGTTGCTGCTGTGCAGCTTCCCACCCTCATACCAGAGCTATACTCATTCCCTGGCTTGCTCTTGCTGCTGATACCCTTGCTGAGGTGTGATTTTATAGCAACACCAACCAGGGAATGTCCATGCTGATGGAGGCAGAGGACAGGGCCATTGGCAGAGGAGAAGAAATCTGGTTCCCTGCTGCAACGAGCTGCAGAAAGCAGAGAGGTGGGATTAGGCAGTCTAACCCGCTTTGGCAGGGCTGCTTTGGCCTGCTGCAGTATGTCTTGTTCTGCAGTGCCAGAAAGGGAGGAGAGGCTGATGAGTGCTGTAGGCTATTGTCATTTCCTCTGCTTTCCACAGCTGTCAGGAGGGTGCCTTTAGGCGTTGTATTAATGAAGTTGTGGCCTTTCGACCATAATGTGACATCTGTCATCACCTGTGTTAGCCCCCCACTAAGTATGATGCTTACTTATTCACTGCAAAGATGTTAGAGCTTTACCAAACCTGTACCCGTTCAGGTTAGCAAAAAGTATCTTTGTTGGGAAACTCCCTTCAGGGTTTAGCTGCCATGCTGCACTTTGACCTGACCGTGATGTTTGCTGGTCACACCAAGGTCACATTAAAGGTAAAAGCCTGTAAGGCAGGAAAGTAGCATAGTCAGGGCAGTTCACTGCAAGTCCAGACCTGCTCATTTAGGACTCTCACTCCTGCTGGTTTCTTCCAGCAGGAACATGTTAAGATCCTGTCCAAAGCATGGGATGTTAGGATTTTAACTGGAAAATACTTTTGCTGAAGCGGGTCCCTGTGTTTGAGTGGCTTAGGCAAAAGGCTGGTAATTCAGCTTTTGACAATATGTCCTATATTCCCTAAAACACTCTTCTGTTAAGGACATGGAGATGATTTCCTCCTTGAATGGGATGTGGCCTTTGAAGGCTTTATTCGTCCTTGTGAACTCTCACAATACTTACAAATGCACTGTTGCTGCCAGTTTGCAACTACCACTAGTGCTGTGCAGTCTGAATTTTCTCTTGTCCCCCAGGCCTGGCATCCTTTTTCCCTACTTTTTCCTTCTTCTTTGAGAAGAATTTTACAGTTCTCAGTAAAGCTGTTTCCTAACCTTCCTCACACCTCCTGCTGAGGACATGTACGGGCATCAGAGCAATGAGTGTTTCTCTACATTGATCTCTCTTTCCTGTCCAACTGCATTTCCCTGGGCACTCGTGTGCTGTCACCAGCTCAAACTGATCCAGCTCATTACCGTTCTTTCTGGTAGTTGCTAATATTTGTATTACCATAAACCTTTTCACTCTCAAACTATGACCCCACTGTTTTAGTCACTGGTTTAAGTGGGGAAAATGTAGGGCCTGCAGGGGTACATGTGCCTGTAGCAAAAGGACTGGACTTCATATGGTGCTGCAAATCATACAGGGCAGGCAAAACAGAATTAAAAACCTGCAAACTAATTCCCTTTCTCCAAACTCTCTTCATTATAGTTGTTACAGAGTTTATTTGTAATCAGAGTAGGGATGACATCTCAAACTTCCTTTAAAATGTGCCTGAATTCAAGTCTGACATGCTAATTGAATTTTATTAGTAAGAAATGTCTGTTTTAATAAGGAAACTTCCTTATCTCTCTGACAAGTTTATGTTTGGTGCATACCTACTTAATGTTTTCATCACTACTACCTGCCATTGCCAGTCAGAAAAAAAACCTCACTGAAGCATCTCTCTGAACAGCAAATGCTGTAATTTCATTTGATATTGATATTATTTTCACATTCATACATCCCATTCATA